CGCCTGGCGTGAGTTTTAAGCCACCGGGTCCGGGACGCGAACCGTGGTCGACTACGTGGGAGCCCAGCGACATAGCCATTACGTTAACTGCTGGTTCCCAATCCAGTACATGATTTGAAATACTTTCTCGCATTCTGTAGTTTGTCTTTTCACTTTCCTGATAGTGTCCCTTTATGCAAGTTCTTAATTTTGGTGAAATTCAATTTACCTATTTTCTATTGTCATTGCTTGTCTTTTTCATTCTTTCTTTTCCTCTCTTTCTTTTTTTTTTTTTGGTTGTGGTTGTTAATTTGCCAAAGGGCATCTGTACTTGTCAGAGAGCCATGGAGAAACGGAGAGAGAGAAAGCACCCTATCCAATGGGACATATTCACACTGTAACCCCTTCTCCATTTCTCTGTCCTGCTGGGATCTGGGGCACACACACTTGCACCTGGCATGTTTTTCAAGCCACCAGGCCAGGATTTAAACTGTGGTAGGCCATGTAGGATCTGGTTCCCTTAACCACTGGACTACAGGCCTGCCCAGCCCTTTTGGTGTTGTATGGAAGAATCCATTGCTGAATCCAAGGTCATGAAGATTTACCTTTATGTTTTCTTCAATGAGTTTTATAATCTCAACTCTTAAATAAAACAGCATTTTAATGCAGCATATTTGAAAATCGAGATGAATGCAAAAAGTCCACAATGAACAAAACACAACATTTTAAATAAAAACGAGATGTGCCTGTGCACCCATCCTCTCCCTTGGGAGGGCCTGGCAGAGAGAGTCCTGTGGCCCAGAGCTGCTTTTGGCTGATGGCAGAGCTTGGTCCCCCTGCTGGCAACACGGAGAGGAGAGCAGTGTTTCTGCTGCAAGTCCTTGAGAAGGGGAAGGCATGCACCCTGGCTGCAGCCCAGTGAGGCGGTAAATCTGGCAGGACATACAGGCCAGAAATGACCTCGTGCCCGCGTGTTACGCGCTTCCCAGTGGGACTGTACAGAACTTGAAAGTGACAGCTGTCACAAAGGAACTCTGACTGCAGCCTCCTCCCCAGGAGGGTCCCCACTAGGTCTGGCGGGGGTCGGAGGAGAGGGAGGCAGGAGCGGGCTGGACCACAGGGGCGCATCCCTAGGCCCTCCGGCTCTGGGCTCCCAGGCGAATGAGGCAGGCTGGTGCGCCCCTCGCGCCTGGTCCGGGTTCTTGCGGACGCCCCTCCCAGCACCGCCCCGGGGAGAGCTTGCAGGCGGGGTGCTGTGGGGCGGAGCTTCAGGGACTGCCGACTTTCCCCGCCAGGGCGCTTCTGTCTGAAACCCCCAGTGAGCGAGAGGGAGAGCGCGGCCACCTCGCCCCGCCCCAGGGTGTCCCGCCCTATTCGTGCCGAACTCCACCCTCTCCCCGGAAGGTCGTGGCCGCGACGAGCCCGGAGTCCTTAGCTTCTTTGAACCTCGGGGCCCCTGAAGTCTGGAGCCCCTGCAGCCCGAAATCCCTGAACCCCAAACCAGCGCACCATGGCGGCGTCCGCTCCGCTGCGCGACTGCCAGGTACGCGGAAGTCGCGCTAGCCGGGTCCTCCGAGGTCCCAGGGTCGCCAGGCGCCAGGCAGGACGGGATGGGACCTGTGGGTAACCCGGGTGGGTCAGGCCGGGGGCGCGGGCGGGCACCGGCGAGGCGGGCACCGGCGAGGCGTCCTGGCGGTGCACCTGGTCCGGCGCTAGGGCGCTTCCGCGGCCGCGCGTGGAGGGGCCTCCCGGGGGGCCCTTCAACGAGGAAAACAAACCAGGCCTGTTGGGGTTTCAGGAAGACTCTCCGGACCTCCTAAAAACAAACTCATTGAGCATGCGTGGTACAGCAGGGACACCTGGTGACCGAGCAGGGAACCTGAGCCCATGTTGCCAACAAGGAAGGTTGAGGTCAGAGGACCAAGCAGCCAGTCCGCAGCAGCCACCCAATACCCAGCCCTCTGTGCTGGCCAGGAACCAAGGGCATTTCCTCTGCCGGGGGGAGCCACTGAACTGCGAGCCCCGCCCCGCTCCAAAGACAGCCGCTCCAGTGAGCCCATGGGGCAGCAGCAGAGGTTCCAGGGCCGGACTTGCCCCCTTGTCTCCTCTGATGCAGCCCAGAGCTGGGAGGAGCTGGTCCCCGGATGGCAGAACCTATCCCAACTGCGTGGCAAGATCACCACCAGACCTACCAAGTGTCTGCTCCCCTCAGGACACTTCACCGTCACCCATTTGGTCCCCTCGAAGCCCATTTTGCAGAGGGACCCGCCAAGGGTGTGAGAGGAGGACCTTGCCTGAGAGGCCGCAGCCCAAGGTGGCAGGATTAGGAGCAGGCCCTACAGGGCCTGGGCTCAGCTTGCCCTCTGGTTTCTCTGTGAACTCTGGCAGACCCGGGGTGGCCAGGCCAGGAGCCAGTGCCTGCACAGCTGCCAGGCCTTTGGAGATCGGTGATGTGTATCAGGGGCTGGGCTTTGTGGGCGTCCAAGGTTGTGGGCCCACAGAGTAAGGTCTGTGTTCCTTTCTGTTGTGCGTAGGCCTGGAAGGACGCGGGACTCCCACTCTCCACCCCGAGCAATGAGGCCTGCAAGCTGTTTGATGCTACCGTGACCCAGGTATGCCCACCATGAGACATGGTGGCCCTTCTGGGGATGGATACTTTTTAAAGTAGTAGACTACCATAACTCTGGACACTCTGAACTGGAGGACATGGGAGCGTGTGGAGCCATTCTTGCCAGCTCATGCCGTGGGTGACAGCACCTCAGCTGAAGGCCCCCGAGGGTGGGCACGCACCAATGAGCTTGCCAGGAGGGGCAGTTCTGTGGGGTGCTGGGGTTTGTTGTAGGGCTCTGCTGTTTAGGGTATGGCATCCCACCCCAGGGCAGATTAGGAATACCTCGGTCTCGCCTCTGGCTGTGCTGAGACATTCTGCCACTTGACGGTCATTTCTGCACCAGCAAAGAGGCCTGCAGCTTTAGCACGAGGAAGGGTCTCAGGAGTCAGGGCCAGGTAGTTTGTTTGGCAAGTGAGGAAACAGGCCCAGAGAGTTGAATAGGCTTCAGTGGAGGTTGCTCAGCGAGGTAAAGACTGGCCGAGCGAGAGAAAGCCAATGGAGTGCCGTGAGCAGTGTTCAGCTGTGTTCCGGGGCTCTCCTGCTCCCAGCCTGTCCTCACCCAGGACCCCTCTGTGAGCACTTGAGCTACTTGTCTGTTTCAGGCTTAATGCCGGCCCTACCCCTTCCTGAACCTGCCTGCCTTTGGGGAGGGGTGGTTTGTTAATGGCCACCTTCCCCCTTCCGGCCTCCAGCCTGGGCGGTGGCTGCTGTCCCGCTTCACAGCCTGGGTCCTCCCCTCTGTGCCAGTGCCCCTGGATCCTGCTGCTAGTTCTGTGAGGACGTAGGTCAGACAGCTGGAAGGGCGCCTTGTAGAGTCCGTGCAGATTTAAAATAGGTGTTTAAAATAGGGGACCAGCAGTTAGCGTAACGGCTATGTCTCTGGACTCCCATGTAGTCAACTGCGGTTTGAGTCCTGGACCCAGTGGCTTAAACTCACGCCGGACGCGTGTCTGTGCGGGCCCAAGATCCGAGAGGAAAATGGAGGAAAAGGGATTGCAGTGTGACCATCCCCTCTGGGTGATTTCTTGCTTTCTGTCTCTTTCTCTCTGTCTTTCTGGTGAGCATACACGCCCTATAGCAAAAACCTCTCCAAAAGAAGAAGAAGAAAAAAAAAGGAGGCCCAGAGGGCCCATCTTGGCATGGTGGTACAGGCGGTGGCTGGGTCTCACACGGCCAGCTGCACAGTTCAAGGCCTGGACTCAGTGACTTAAAAACACACCAGGTGTGTGCGCGTGTGTGCCCAAAACCCTGAAAGGAGGGAGAGCTGGAGAAGGTACTGTGGCGTGGCCACGCCTCATAGGCTGTGCTTTCTGTCTGTCTGTCTCTCTTTCTCTCTCTTCCTCAGGTGACCTCTTGTGCCCTCTGGCAAAATTAAAACATTTTTTAAATTAAAAAAATGAAAACAGTCTAGAAAAACAAATACACAAAATTACCAAAAACGGTGATGGGATAAAATAAGATTTGTCTTTCAGCTTTTGTGTCATTAACTCTCTACTATGAATGTTCACTGTGATTGTTTTGAAAAATAAAAAGATAAAAGAATAAGAAACAAGAACGTTTCTGTTGTGGTCACCAATTTCAAGGCCCCCCAGGACCTAATAAGCTGGTGTGGCAGGTCACCTGTTGGGAAAGCCTTCATTCTGGAAATGGTGGCATAACCAGCCCTAGAAAGCGTGCCCTGAGTTGGGTATTTACTCTCTCCAAGGGAGATCAGCAAAGCTACGCTTTCTTTGGGTTAGAGTCTAGAACACACGCAGTGCCCCGGACTTAGATGCATGGCGGCATTGAAATGGTCTGCAGACGCCAGCTCTGTGAGGACACCTCAGTCTCACCTCTCCTGTTGCAGTATGTGAAATGGACCAATGACAAGAGTCTCGGTGGCATTGAGGGCTGCTTGTCGAAGCTCAGAGCAGCCGACCCGACCTTCGGTGAGTAATGCCCTCCCCGGTGAGAAGCCCTATTGTACGGCTCCGACCAGCCCGGGCCTCTGCCCACCGGGACTTGGCTGGGTTGGGAGATGGCCGGCTGGCGTTCACAGAGGGAGGAATGGGCACATCCCACATGTCTAGAGTGACAGCTGCCCCTGGAGACGCCAAGTTCTATAGGAAGTGTTTTTCAGGTTTTTCCCTCTAGTTGCCGTCCCCTCTGCAAGGAGATGCTGAGCCCATTTCTCAGCTGTGGAAGCTGAGGCTCTGAGAGTCCCATGCCTAGAGGCCACCCAGCTGGTGGTTGAGGGCTGCAGTTAGTCGAGGCTCTCTGAGTCCGCAGCCCAGACCCCTGGAGCACAGGAGACAGCTCTCTAGCCTTTACTGGGGGACTCCCCTGGGTCGCTGGGGTGGGTGGTGGTGATGGGAGACAGGAGCTGGCACCCCAGCCAAGCTGCGAATGGTGGCAGGGGAAGGCGAGCACATAGGTGGCCAGCCCCAGTGTGGGGTAAGGGCCCAGGATGTGAGGGGCGAGCAGGCAGGAGGGCCCCCTCCCACCCTGCCACAGTTGGTCAGACCAAAGGCAGGGCGCTGATACCATCCTGCCGAGGACAGAGGGGGTGAGAGCTGGGGAGTTCAGTCCAGCCTCGGGGTGCCAGTAGCCGGGGGTGCCAGTAGCCAGGGGCACCTCAGGTCAGAGCAGGAGCCGCATGGGGGTCCTATGCTATGACTGGCCCCAGGTCTGAGCACCTGTGGACACTTGGGCTCTCTCAAGGTGGGGCTTGGAAGCCCAGGAAGGTCCCTGGCACACATCCCCTGCAACTCTCAGCCTGTGAGAGCATTGTCTATACTCTGGGGCTCCCTGGGCCAACCCCCCAAACACCCACCGAGTGCCCTTGAGGCCGCATGCTGGCCATGTGAGTGTCACCGAGGGGACTGCAGGCAGCTCCTTGCTGAGTCGTTTGGTGAGGGGGAGGTTCTTTGGGCTCTGGTACTCAGCGGAACGCTGGAAAACTGAGTGTATTTAGAGCCGTTCCCCCTCTGCACGGAGGGCCGAGGCTGGGCTGGGGACTGCCATCGCCTGGGCGCACCTTCTGGGACTCGGTGTGTTTCACACATGGGGCCTGGGCCGTGCAGGCTGGACTGTCCGAGTCCCCAGCTGTTTTCTAACCTCTTGCCAGCAATGGGCCACGCCATCTCCAACGGCCTTGTGTTGATTGGCACTGGAAGCTCCGTGAGGCTGGACAAAGAGCTGGACCTGGCTGTGAGGACTATGGTGGACATTTCCAGATCCCAGCCACTGACACAGCGGGAGCGGCTGCACGTGTCTGCAGTAGAGACGTTTGCCAAGGGGTGAGGGGCTCCCTGGCTGATGCTCAGAGCGCGGGGCTCGCTGAGTGATGCCACAGGCTATCCAATGCCCTGGGAGGGGGTGGCTGAAGTGATCCTCACCCACCCACCGTCTGACTGAAAATTGCATCATCTGCTGTGAACCTGCAGTCGGTGCTGGAGGAGGAAGGAGTTGGCCAGGGTGCCCAACTTAGCGTTTGAAGTAACTGGTTTTATTTCATTAAATAGATTGGGTAGTTGTTTAAGAATTACTTTATTTAACTTTATTTATTTATTTATTTTAATTTGACCAGAGAGAGAGTGAGAGAGAGAGAGAGAGGAAAAGTGAGAAAGCAAGCTGCCAGGTCTGGGACTCAACCATGGTTGGTCATGTGGGACTCCAGCGCCCTTAACTACCATGCTGCCTACCGGCCCCCAGATTGGGCGTTTTCATTATAAAAATAATATGACTACATTACAGAAATATTTGGAGGACAGAAGAAAGAAGAAAATGTTCACTTGGGGCCGGCCCTATGCCCTGGTGGTTAATGGGAACTGGATCCCAAATGGCTGACCATGGTTCGAATCCCACCCAGCAGCTTGAAAGACATGCTGGGCATGTGTGCCCCAAATCGCAGCGTGATGGATGGAGAGGGGATTGTGTGATCACACCCCATCGGAGTTACTTTCTCCCTCTCTCCACTCCTCTGTTTCTCTCTGCGCTCACCTGTATGCTCCTGCCCTGATGCGCCCTGGGCGCCGCTGCCCGCTGCGTTGCAGATGTCCGCACCCCTGACCCCTCCTAGGGAATGGGCATGTGTCTGCCCTGGCAGGTGTGATGCCTTGCGGGCCAGGTGAACTAAGCTCACCGTACACTTGCATGATCTCAGGGGCTCCAGGCCCTGACAGAGAAAGCCCTGCCCGGCCATCTTCCTGGTGAGAGATGCAGTTGTGGGATCCCCCCCGTCGGAGACGTCCTGCAGTGAGGCCTGGTCTCCGGTGCAATTGTCTTTGGCAGTTTGTTAAACTACCTTTTATTCTTCTGCTTAAAACTAGAGAGTAAAATTCCCCATTGGTTTTTCAACTTTCTGAGCCACAACCTGACGGGGTTTTTAATCCGTCAAACACAGACCCTGACCTGGCAAGAAACGGCACCTTCACGTCCCCGTGTGTGGCCTTTGTGTTCCACACTGCTGAGAAGTCGCTCTTGGTTTCCAGGAACTTTCCAAAAGCCTGTGAGCTCTGGGAACAGATTCTCCGCGACCACCCGACAGATATGCTGGCCCTGAAATTTTCCCACGATGCCTATTTTTACCTGGGCTACCAGGAACAGATGCGGGATTCTGTTGCTCGAGTTTACCCTTTCTGGACCCCTGACGTCCCCCTTAGCAGGTATGTGCTGCTTGGAAAGCACATCGTTCATCTCTTCCTTTCTCTCTCTTCCTTTCTCTTCCTTTCTTTCTCTCTTTTTCTCTCTTTCTCTTTCTTTCTTTCTTTCTTCTTTTTTAAAATATTTTTTTGCCACAGGGTGCATGCTCTTGCCGGAGAGAGACAGAGACAGTAAGTGAGCATCACCCCAGACCTTACTCTCCAAAGCTTCACACAAGGGTTTAGTTCTCACCCATGTTACGTGTCCCTCTTAGGAGGGCTGTGGGTTCTGTGACCGTGGCCCTGGTCTCTCCAGGAGCTCAGCTGAGGAAGCAAATGGACACACCTGTTGCTAAGAATGAAGGACACTCTCCTGAGGGCTCACCGTGGCAATGAAGTGCTCAGCATGAAAGGGACACCTTGCCACTCCCAAGTCACTGGCCAGAACTGATCAGACCCACCCATATGACCTGACCTACACGGAGAAGACCAGGAAGTACAGTTCTGCCCTGTGCTTGGGATGTGTGAACAGCCCCGTGTCCACCCCTCGTGATCAGTCTTGACCATGGCATTGCGTGAGGGCCAAAAGGGCTTCTAGAGTGAAGAACTGTATCAGTCAGGTTTTCCAGAGACACAACCTATGGGATCTCTCTCTTTCTCTCTTTCATTATTGCTCTTTCTCTCTCAAGAGCATTAATAAGAAATTATTTTAAGGAATTAACTCATGTCAAGGTGTAAGGGTTGACAAATTGAAAATCTGTAGGGCAGGTGGCAGGCTGAAAATTCCTGCACAAATCCACATTACAGTCTGTCCCAAGGAAGTCTGGAGGCAGAACTCCTCCTCAGAACCTCAGTCTTTTCTCTTAAATCCTTCAGCTGATTAGATGAGGCCTTCCCACGTTACAGAGGGAATTTGTTTTACTCAGAGTCTGCTGACTTACATAGTCATCATTTCTTTGAAAAATACAAGGGCCAGCCCATGGCCTGGGGATTGAGGTGACTGAATCCTGTATGAATGACCGTGTGGTTTGAGTCCCAGACCTGGTTACTTGCGAAACTTGTAGGCCTGCCCCAAATCCAGAAAGGATGGAGAAATGGAGGAGAAGGGATTGTGGCATGACCACGCAAGTGCATACACCCTCTGGCAAATTTTTTTTTTTTTTTTGAGAGAGATTTTTGCTGTAGGGTGCATGCACTTACTGAAAAGACAGAGACAGAAAGTAAGATATCACTCCCCAGGGGAGATGGCCATGCTGAATCCCTTCTCCTCCATTCTCTCAGGATTTGGGGCACACATGCACATGTGCCTGGTGTGAGTTTCAAGCCACTGAGTCTGGGACTCGAATCATGGTCAACCACACAGTTAAACACCATGCTACCTCTTGGCCCCATGTCTGGCAAAACTAAAAAAAAATAAGTAAAGGAGCCAGCAGGTTGTATAGTGGTTAAGGTGCTGGACTCCCACATGGTCAACTGTGTTTCAAGTCCTGAACCCACTGGCTTGAAACTCATGCCAGGCACATGTGCATGTGTGGCCAAAATCTCAGAAGGAGAATGGAGGAGAAGGGATTACAGCATGGCCATCCCCACTGGAGTGTGATTTCTCACGTTCTCTGGCTCTCCAGCAAGCACACATGCCCTATAGCAAAAAGTCTACTTGGGGACCAGCAGGTGGCGTGGTGGTTAAGGCACTGGACATTCCCACATGGCCAACCACGGTTCGAGTCCCGGATCTGGAGGCTTGTTTTCCCACTTTCCCTTTGTTCGCTCGCTCTCTTGCTCGCTCCCACGCTCTCTCTGTCTCTCTCTGGTCAAATTAAAATAAATGAATGAATAAATAAAATTGAATAAATAATTCTTAAAAAAAAAAAAAGTCTACCTAAAATATAAATAGAACGCCTAGACTGGTTTTTGACCGAGCAACTGAGAACCATGACCTGACCACATCGGCACAAAAACTAACCCTCGGGAGAGCCGGACAGTGTCTGTTAACGGTAAGCACTCAGTAAACATCTACACGCTGAGGGCTGAATGATCCTGCTAAGGGTCAGTACGCATTTATTTATTTATTTATTTTTCGAGAGGTTTTTGCTATAGGGTACATGTGCTTGCCAGACAGAGAGAGACAGAGAGATAGAAAGCAAGAAATCACCCCCCAGGGGGGATGGTCACGCCACAATCCCTTCTCCTCCATTCTCCTCTCGGGATCTTGGGCACGCACGCACACGTGCCTGGTGTGAGGTTCAAGTCACCGGGGTGAACCGCGGTCAACTACATGGGAGTCCAGTGACATAGCCATCACGCTAACTGCTGGTCCCTGTACGCATTTATTTTTTAAAGCTCAGTCTGAAAGCCGCTGTCGTAGAACAGTGCTTCAGTGAATAGTACCAGCTGGGATTCACCATGCAGAGTGGTGAAGACAACACCTGTGTCTCCAGAAGAGACTCTCACTCCACCTCCTTTTCTCTTAACCCTGAGAAGCCATAGAGAGCCACATCCCTCTCACCATGACACCCGGACCCATGGTGCTGTGGTTAGAGGAGGGACGGAAGCCTGCACTGACTCAACCAGGGGGATCCGGCCCTTCCTGGCCTGGGCCTGGCTGAGAGTGACATGGGCAGACGAGGGCTCTGGGAGCTCTGGCTGTTGGGAGGAGCCTGGCTGTCCAGGGCATGTGTCCTGGCTGAGCAGAGGGCAGTGGTGGTGTTGCAGGGCCAGTGGAGGAGCCCGTGACGCTTCCTGGGAGGTGCTCCTGCATGCTGTCACCAGGTGGACAGGAGGGAGCAGAACCTCGTGTCCTCAGGGGAGCTGCTGCATTGAGGTCTTAGGAGGTGGGGTGCTAATCAAGGAGAGGGCCTGCTGTGTAGACCGAGCTGGTGTGGGATGATAACGCAGCTGAGGAAAGGCACCTTGTCCCTCAGTGGAAGTGTGGACTTGCTGAGTGACAGAGCTCGGTGTGGTCTGGATGTGGACCAACCTTCAAGGGTGGCGGTGGCAGGGCCTTGAACTGGGGACTCAAAGTGACAGACATGTCTTCCCAGCTTAAGCAGCCAGAGGTCTGGATTGGGGCCAGCAGTCCAGAGCCTCCAAGGGCTCCAGGGGAGGACCCCCCCGCCTCTCCAGCCTGGAGTGGCTGCACTGTCCTTGTGCCATGGCGTGTGGTCACATCACCCTAGCTTTGCGTCGTCTCTCCGGGCCATCTCACCATGTCTCTGTGTCTGTCTCACATGGCTGTCTTGTAAGGGCACTGCTGGCTGCGGGCCTACCCAGTGTGGTGTGACTCTGCAAAGACCCTCTTCCCAGTAAGGTCATGCTCTCGGGACTGGAGTCGGGACTACGGCGGGTCTCTGTGGGGTCGCGTCCGCCCAGCCGCTGCCGCGTGGTCAGGCCTAGTCTTTCTCTGTTCTCAGCTATGTGAAAGGCATCTATTCCTTCGGGCTCATGGAGACCAACTTGTACGATCAGGCGGAAAAGCTTGCCAAAGAGGTGAGTGAGCTCGGTCTGAGGTGGCTGACCCTTCAGGGAGTGGCAGTCGGGTGGGGCAGACCACACCAGGGCCCTGTCCTCAGGACCTCTGTGGACCTCTGTGGACCTCAGTGTCCTGTGCCTGGCGCTTACCAGGTGCTCAGCAAACTCGAGGGAACAGTGACAGGAGCGATGCTTCCGGGCGAGACTTGGTCCAGTGTCCTGCCTGCCACACTGCGCTGGGAGCTCGGGCACCCATTGTCATCAGCAGTGGTGCCGTCACAGCCAGCTGTGTCTGAGCCTGAAAGCTGTGTGCGTGGTCACGTGTGTGTGAGTGTCAGGAGGCAGCCGTGCTCCCTCGAGCACGTGCTCATGTGGTCCGTGCCCACGCTGTCTGCTGTCTCTGCCACAGCCCCCAGAGGATGGCAGCATCAGTGGCCCCTCCACGGGGGAACGGGCCCAGAGCAGCTGGGCAGCTGGAGGTGACTTGGCTACCACGGTAGGGAGGCTGCAGGCGCAGAGGGTGCGGGCCCCTCCCACCCCGCTCCAGCTTTGAGCTGGAGCTGCCACTCAGCTGCCACTCAGCTGTGTGGCCTCACACCTGTTGCTTAGCCTCCTGAGCCTCAGTTTCCTCCTGTGAACTGGGCAAGGATCCTCGTTGGCAGCAAGCATCCGTGTTAGAACGCCCTGGGCACACGGGAGGCAGGGCTGGTCGTTGGGATTGTAGTCGTTAGGCATCAGAGCCCAGCCTGGCACCGCAAGCATCCGTGTTAGAACGCCCTGGGCACATGGGAGGCAGGGCTGGTCGTTGGGATCGTAGCCATTAGGCATCAGAGCCCAGCCTGGCACTGGCTCCGTGGCCCTTGAGACGCTGGTCCTGGCCCCGGGCAACC